GAAAAAGACAACCAAAAATAAAATGTTGATAGAGCAATTGCTTCACAAGTTGTAACTATAAAGACTAGCGCACCTCGCCCAGAAGAATCTGCTGGTCTAATGTCAATAGTAACGCAGGTTGTCATGCAAATGAACGCTAATTGCTTGAGAGTCCATGGATGATTGATATGCTTAATCTTGGTATGGTGACATTCGGTTTTGGTGTGTGTTATTTGAGTAAAAGACATTGAAACATCTAATGCAGAATTAACACAAAGGTAAGGAATTAAAACGGCTCATAATGGCCGTTTGTCTCAATTATATATGTATATTCGTAAAACGATAGGATACTAAGTGCTCGCGATCTGAACAAGAAAGATCGAGATAATCTTAGTATAAAAATAACAGAAGTTGTTAAGGAAGGTGCTGCGGCTTGCTATGAGAATTAAATCACTTATTATTCCTTTTGGTGATCCAAAAATTTCTGCCCATTCTGATAACTTTTTGATGACTTTTTCTGCAGCTATTTTTTTAGATCGATAAAGCCAAACAAACTAACTGAACTCATTAAAAAGTACCAATATATATTTATACTTCTTTGTTGTTATATTCATTAGTCTAAGTGATCTATATGTAGGGTATATAAAGGTACGTCTCCTTTTTCAATAACGTGCATATGACCTTCTTGCTTTTTGTTGAACTTTACAATTTTTTATAACTTTCTCAACTTTTTGACGAAGATGTGGTAAAAAATATTTTTGTTCCAGTGCGTTGACTACTTTCTCTGTAACAAAATGCCCTTATTCATGTTCATCGCGAATTATATTATACGAGAAGTTTTAAACATCCTTCTCTTTCCACAGAATATTATTTTTTATTTATTGAGTAGTTTTCATACGGTTCTGTTCCCAAGACCTGTTTTATTACCATAAGATGCTTATTATCTGTTTGTGCTTTTTGAAGTCTTGTGGAGATTTCTTCTCTGATAATCATACCATTTATAGGTGTCCGACTTAAGGCGTCAACATGTCTCATTGCTTTCGCTTTACGATGTTCAATAGTTTAGTGATAATCTTGTAAATATAATATCCAACGTATTACAGCTAGCTGGTCAAAAGCGTTCTATGCTTTTGCTGACAGTGCTCTTGAATGCTTGAAAATCTGTGACCAACTTAAAGTTTCTTCCGAGTAAATAGTGACGTAACCTTTGGAAAGCTAAATATGCTTTTATGTCCAGATTGAAACTATGCAGTTTTGTTTCATCTGGTGTACATTTTCTACTCCAATAATTTATCGAAGACCATTTTCCCTCGAACTGTTGAAGTAAGATTGATGTACGTAATTCTGTTGCTGCTGTTTGAGAAAACATTCTTAAAACTAACTGTTTAGTGAGAATGCTTTTTATTTGCTCTATAGATGTTTGCTCTGTTGAACCAATCTTGAAATCGAAATCTTTTTTGAATAGATCCTTAAATGGTTTTGTTATCACTGCATAGTTCTGTACAAATTTTCGGAAAGATCCTGTCAAACTCAGAAATGATTGGAGTTTTTTAATATTTGTTGGCACTGGAAAGTTTTTGATCGTGGCACAATTTTCCACATCAGGTGAAATACATCCGTTTGTGATCCACAGTCCTAAATAAACAATTTCCGTTTGTTAAAATTTACACTTTTTCCATTCAATTTTTAAACCAACCAAATCTAACGTTATAAAAATCCATTTACCTTCTAAAGCTTCAACGACTTCCTCCATTAATGGGACTGGGAAAACATCTTTTTGTACAATCTTATTTAAATCCCGATAATCCATGCAAATTCTTTTACCGTCACTTTTTTTAGCTGCAACAACTATTCGACTGGAAACTTCTGACTTTTTTCTTTTGCTGTTTCAATTATACCGATAGCTATTGTTTTTTTATTATCATGACCCGAAATGTTTTTAGTACATTCTTGTATTTCACAGTTTAATGTCTTCGCAATTTTTTGCTCGATTACCGAAATATCCGCGACGCTGTCTACCAAACAGTTTAACTTTTTGCCGTCTATTAGTATCTACTTTGTTGCGTTTCGTTGCATTTTTTATAATATTTATTTCATTTTTGCTCTTTACTTCATTTGAAGTTTTTTAATTCTTTTACTTCTATAAATTTTATGTACATTTGAAAAACCTTAATTCATATAATACTGCAGCCACAGATTCGATCTTCAAGTCCCGATGGAGGTCAGTATTCCTAATGAACCACGGAGCATTGACTAAATTTCTTAAAAGTTTGTTTTGGAAATTTTGGATGATTTGAATAGAGGATTTTGGTGCACATCCCCATAAATGGATTCCATACGTCCACACCGAAGCTAAGACTTGCTTGTATATCATTAATTTGTTGTTTAGAGAGACGGGTGTTTTTTCCCCAACTAGCCAATATAAATTTTTGTATTTGGATTCTAGTTCAACTCGTTTTTTCTTTATATGTTCTTTCCATTTGAACTTTGCATCTAAGTTCATGCCAAGGTATTTAGCTGTGTTTGAGTATAATATTCGAGCACTGCACATAGTTATCGGCAAATAGTCAATTTTTTTGTTTGTGAAATTTACATGGACGGATTTCGTTTGGTTGAGCTCAATTTTCCATTTTTTAGTCCAACTAATAATTTGATCAATGGAATGTTACGTTGCTTCTGTTGATTCGTTTGTGGTATTTCCAGTGGTAAGGATCGCTGTATCATCTGCAAACGTGGCAATAACACTTTCTGGTGGGACTTGCAAGTCGGCTGTGTAAATTAGATACAGAATTGGGCCAAGTATACTTGTCTGCGGTACTTCGGCTTCAATTTGTTTAAGTGTTGAGTACACGCACCATTATATTTCACTCTGAAGAATCGCCAAGATAAGTAGGACCACATAATTTCGGATATCTGTTTCGAAAATGATTGTTCAATCTTATACACAAGTCCTTTGTGTCAAACTTTATCAAAGACTTAGATACGTCTAGGAATACTGCAGTGCAAATTTTTTGTTTTTCAAGTGCTCTTTCGATTTTGTCGCATATTCTGTGTACTTGTTCTACAGTAGAATGTTTTTTTCGGAACCCAAACTGATGACTCGGAACTATTTGATTTTCGTTAGAATAATCTGTATTCTATTAAGGAAAATTCGTTCAAAGATTTTTGATAAAACGGGTAATAAAGAAATTGAACGATACAACGAAACTTTATTAGCAGGTTTTCCATGTTTGTGTACCATAAGTACTTCCGCTACTTTCCAATAAATTGTGAAGTGTCTTAAGCGCAGAGCTGCATTAATTATTTTGCATAGTTTGATTATACCTTTATTAGGGAATTGATTTAAGATCTCAGCGGTTATCTGATCCCAACCAGGAGCCTTTTTTAGTTTCATATTTCTTATTTCTTTGCATTGTTTATGCAATGACCCTCATTGCATTTCTCAGTTTCAGAAATGCTCAAATGCAAAAGATTTTGTAATATACCTAGATTGCTATGAATAAAAATATTGTTTTAATGATTTAGAAATTTGAATGCTGAATAGTGAAATTTGGAAATTTTGTTTTGCTTATTTAGAGGAAGTTAAAGTATCGTGGGAGAAAATATTATTTCGATACTTTAATGGTTTTGTAACTAGAATAGTTACAAAGAATCAAGTTTTGTAACCAATTTGGTAATATAAAAAATATACCGTGGGATAAATAATTATTTGGGACACTTATGAGACATATACTGTCGAATTTTGCAATTTATTATTAATAAGACAAATTTGATCACATAGACCAATTAATTGGAATATTGTGAAGTGTTGGCGGAGCCAATGTCGTGGTCCTAATGGGTTGTATAACAAACACATGATGTATGGTGTTCAATCATGAACATGAATTTATATATTTTATTATTATAGTTTATTATTGTAAATCCATTATCACCTAAATTCTTAGAATAATGTACTAAGGAAAAATATAGATAAATAGTAACATTTTTGAGCATCCGTATCTAAATTATTAAAATAAAATATATTCATAAAAACAATAGGAGGAAAATCCCTAGTGTTGGGACTTCCGTCCTTTTTTAACCTTTTTTAACCTTTTTTTACAAACAATAACAAAATGTAATACAGTCCATTAAAATCATATTATTTTAACCTTGATGTAGAAATTAGTCTTAAGATATTTTTGTATAAAAACACAACATTGTTTTAAATAAAATCAGTAACTACAAAATACTCAATCAAAGTACTTCAATAATATAATCAGTACATTTTGGTCCTTCGAGCCGGATATACCAAGAGTGCTATGATCAATAATATAATAGTACATTTTGGTCCTTCGAGCCGGATATAGCAAAAGTGCTATATCAGTGTACTTCACTAATATAAAAGTACATTTTGGTCATTTGTAGATATGTTTCTGCATCCTGTATCCTACTTCCGTAAAAATTTATTTGTTTTTGCAAGTCTGTCACCTGTCCTTGGGACTTTACAAGAACTTGAGGGATTACCTGTTGATGCATTACAAGAATTCAAGCTATCATGAAAACTATTCTTTGCAGATTCTTTTTTTTCGATTTTTTGAAGTTCCGGTTCGAAATCAATTTTTATTGATATATGATCATTTTGTAATCTCATATATCGCCCATCCTGTTCCTTTAGTTCCTTAATATTCTTACCATATTCATCGCATTTATTTTTATATTCAACCACATCGGATCAGTGGACGTAGTTGCATCATCATGGAATATGGTAGTATACTTTAACTTAAACTCATTTTTCGACACAATAAAACAAGCAGATAGAATTTTAATCACAATGAGTAAGACTTGTGAAAATTTACAAACTTTTGAAGGGCAGTGTAATCGGCTTTTAGACACAATGAAACGGCAAGTTGAGAATATGAAGAACACGAATCAATATCTATTTCCACAAAATATTAAAAGATCTAAAAGAGCACTATTTGAATTCATTGGATCGCTGCAACATATCTTTTTTGGAACAATGAATGCAGATGATAGGAGGCAGATTACATATGTAAAGCAGAGAATAAACTTTTAGCTTTAGAGAATGTTGGTACACTACCATCTATTTTGTGAAGAGCATGATGCAATATTTTGACAAAATCCTCGCAGCTGAAGACAATACTGCGACGATACAGTTTAGGTTGTGAAGTAGGATTGAAGAGACTAGGATAAATATGGCCATTTGGTAACCCATATGGATAGAGGAATTTAGAAATGAGAGAGCGGCGATAAGAAGTCAAAGGTTGACCATAAGGCTCATTATAGTTGGTGAGTAATTTTTCCAGTTCAGAATGGACAAGATACTGAGGATAACCGTTGGTATAGAACCGAACAAGACAGTCAGCAAGATCTACGGAAAGGAAAGTATCGCTAGTGCGATAAAATACACGACGCAAATGAGTAGAGAGTACAGATTGCTTAACTTTAATGGATGTATGTGAAGTATAATGGGTCAAACGCATGGATTCGGTGGACTTATGATAGACATTTACTAAGAAAGCATGAGAGGATTGGAAAATACGATGATCGAGATAAGCAACACAAGGGTAAACACTATATTTGAGATCTGGTTTTTCTACAGTATAAGTTACGTCGTATCCAATGAGACGGGGAAAAGCATCCATAAAACTAGAAACAGAGAAAGAAGGCATGTAGAGGAGCACATCGTCGATATACTTCCACCAAGCTAAAACACTATGGGACAAGAACAATGGATTATAATTAAGTTCAATCTGAGCATCTAGAAATATGGTGGCCAATAAGCCAGAGGCCCCTCCACCTTGTGGTAACCCTTCGTGTTGCTGATACAAATCACCATTGAATGTGAAATAATTGGCCTTATGGAGTATAAAATCTAATATAGATTGCAACATACTGACATCGATAGGGCAAGCAGCTTTAAACCAATCCTGACCCATAAAAAACTGCAGTAAATCCCATAAAGGAGGGATGCGAGTACTTGGGTACATTTCTCGTATTGCCATTGTAACTAATACATAACCTGGACGAGGCTGCAATTGTAGTAAATGATCGGTAAGCTTATTAATGTTAGACAGATTATGACACGAAAGCTTACTCTGGAGAGCAGCAGATAAGAAAAACTGACATAGCTTGTGTAAGGGGTGAGAGTACCATTGAATGGGACTGCAAATCGGACGGACCGGATTGTCAAGCTTATGGGTCTTGATAGTTCCATATAGATAAGGGAAGGTTGGCGAGGATGATAATAACTTCTTAAGGCTAGCATTTATAGAGGAGGGATAAAGATTAGGTTTAGCAGCATGAAGACGACACAAAGGATTAACAACCTTCCGGTACTGCGCCTGAATCTTGCGAGAAAGCTGGTCCTGATCACCGATGAATATTGAACAAGCTCCAGTACTAATATAACTCTGCAATAGGTCATCAATTTTTCCAATGTAAGAATCCCTATACATTAATATAGTGGCCTTGCACTTGTCAGACTGGACCAACAATAAATCATTACGAGCCTAAAGGAATTTATGAGTAACGTTGAATAAATGCGTAAGCATGGAATGGTAAGGTGAAGGAACACGATGAGTACGCATTGCAGCCAAGAATTTTACATAATGGTCATCCATCAAAGCCTTACAATAAAGTCCCAAATCATTTTGATATTCAGTGTGATACTTGTAATACTGAGCCAGGGCTGTGTAGTAATTGGAGATGGTAGGCGGAGCAACAGGACAGTAATTGGGACCAAAACTAACCAAAATACGCATCTCTAACGGAACAGTGATTGTAGTGAGATTAATAAAATCCCCAGGTATCGCACAAGGGTAAAGAGCTGGAAAGTAATTAAGAGAGGGTACAGTGGGGAAAAGCTGTGGGGACAGGGACGGAAGAGAGTTGCCCATAAATGCTGAGACAGAGGGGGCCAGACGTGATGGGATGGTAGAGGTCGTAGTGACGGGGACCGTAGAGACTATACAAGAGGCTGTATCCATGACATTCTTGGCTATGACCTGGGCAACATTATGTTTTCTAGCAACGATTTTAGCAGGAGTTTTAGTGACGCTTTTTGTGGCAAGGAGTGGTCTTGATTGTGGGTCTGTTGCTGGCTTTGGGCATGAGGCCATGAGTTTGGGATCCGTTTCTGTTCCTGATGGGACGGTTGATATGGTTGATAAAGGGGTAATGATGGGTGTTGTGTTAGCCACACATGGATGCGGACCGGCGGATATTGCGGGTCTGGATGACATCATGGAGATAACAATTGCTGATATAGAAATCCGTAAGATGTGAGCCCGATATGACGAGATGAATTAAAAAGCGGCGGCTATAATAAAAACACAACAGTGAATAAAATAGTAAATAGAGGAATGAATAGATAAATAAATAATAGAATAAACCAAGGAAAAGAATGAGCAAATGAATGGATAAATAAATGAATGGAGGGATAAAATTGATAAACTAAGTGGATGAATAAGATAAGCAAGTAGATGGATGAGAGGAATATATAAACAAACACATAGAATAACTAAATGTATATTAACAAGTAAGAGAACATATGAGTGGATAAGCAGAGAAAAATGGATAAATGAACTAATATACAAATACAATATATAATAATATATAAATGCGAAACAGATAAACAATAATGGATGAAGAAATAAATATGTATATATATACATACATAAATAAAAACAAAAATAAAAATAAAATAAAATGATAGTAATAAAATAAATAAAACGAAATGAAAAATAGGTTATTAAATTAATGAACAAATACAGTATAAATAATAATAATAAAAAATGAGACAACAGATAAATAATAATGCATAATATATATAAGTTAAATATTTATTTTTATTAATTTAGCAAAAATTTCATGTGTTTCTTATTCAGAGGCTGAAGCAGGAGAGACCGAGCGCAATTTTGCGAAGTTAGGAGATACCGAAGCCAAACGGGACTTTTCCAGACAAACAAATGGAAATCCCGTTTGGTAGCAACCATGCGTTCGAACAACATCGCATGATTGCTCCGTTAATGAGACTAAGCACAGGGCCGGATTTCGGGGTACGCGGGAGTTAACTCCTCCCTTACTAATTTCAAACGTCCTCGTTTGGGCCCCTGTACCTAGTTTCACACACCGCATCCGCTCTCCACCTCGCAAAAAGGAACCCGACACTCCCACTTAAAGCTACCATTTTTTATTGAGTTAAATACTTATTAACAATTGTTCATAAAAATAATTATAATATTAGATAATTAAATTATTGTTTATCTTATAATTTTTTTCAACTTAATTTTGATAATTTACAATTTTCTTTCCAATTTTAAAATTTTTACAAGCTTACTTAAATTTATTTATAAAATATAATTACAAAGTTAAATAACTAATTTATTGTTTAACTTATAATTTTTTCAAATTTAATTTCAATAATTTACAATTTTTTTTCCATTTAAAACTTTTACAAGCTTACTTAAATTTATTCATAAAATACAATTTATTAATTATTAATTATTAATTTTTCCAATTTAATTTCCATAAAAAATTTTTATATTATAACATTTTTTACTACAATTTTTTTATTTAGTAAGGAATTAAATATTGTTTTCTTTATTCTTACATTCATTCATTCACTCTTACTCCTTAAAATTAATTTACCACAGTTACTCTTCTTTCTTCTTCTCTTCTCTCATAACCTATCGGCTCAGAAAAACTTGAAAAACGACAACTATTAAAATTTTTATATTATTTTATATTTTCTTAAACCACGCTGTGCATTCTATAATAACTAATTACGTAGTTAATAAGGAAAAGAATAATTATTATTTTATTATAATAACTATCAATATTTTACCTTTTGGCAGCGCTATGCGCTTTATTATAAGTTAAGTAAAATATTAATAGATTTACATTATATTATTAGAGCAATTACCAATATTCTATCTTTTGGCAGCGCTATACGCTTTATTAAAAGTTAAATAAAATATTGATGGATTACCATTTATATTATTATGGTTATTATTAACATTACACAGCTCTTTGGCATGTGTCGTTGGAATTGCGAATTTTGTAAAAGTGTGCAAAATGTTTAATTTATTAAATACATGTGATTAAGAAATAAGACATGTGAGTAAGAAACAAAAATAGCTTATAAGTGAGCGGACGGTAATGGTTTTGGTTCTAAGAAAATTGCTTAAATTAAAACAAACTTTTGTTTGGTAATATTACATTGTTTTGTGTACCAAGCCGTGCGCGGTATGGGAAACCTTATTGTAGTCAAAATAGTCAAAGAATTGATTGGCTCAATCCTCGTCTAGTATGCAGAGAACACAGTTCTTTGGCAGCGCTATGCGCTTTATTAAATATTATAAGTAATTTTTTTCTTCTTATCTAATATGATTTTTGTGCACCACCCTACCAGATTCAGTTAAAACTGTTGAGTGGTGATTTTCTTTCACCTTTTCCTTCTTAAAACGCTTAGCCAATTTAGTCCCTATTCTTTTGTTTTGTTTTACATGAATCTCCTGTCCGGGTTCGTAGTCTTTAGCTTCCTCCTTATTTTTATTATGATATTTCATATCTTTTTTTGTTTATCCAATAGCCTTTCATAGTTCGCTAAACGGGTTTTTTTCATAGTCTTCTGGTCCAAAATTTAATATTCTTCCAAAAAATAAATCGACAGGTCTTTTATTTGTTACCGAATGAATGGAGTGGTTATATTCGTTCACAGCAGTCTCAACCAGTTCTGTAAAATTTTTACTTGAATCTTCCTGTTTTAGGCACCTCATGATTTCAGCAAGAGTTGAATGGAATCTCTCTACTTGTCCATTTACTTCACTTCTGTAAGGAGGGGTGGTGAAGATATTAATTTTTAAGTCATTTTCCATCATGAACCTGATTGACTGCGAATTAAAAGATTTTTCGTTATCGAAAACAACAGATTTTGGGACTCAAAAATAAAAAAGAATTTCTCTCAGCGGGTTTCTTATGTTTTCAGTACTCTTGCCATCTAACATCCTAACAACGGCGAACTTTGTAAATTTGCCGATTGCGGTAAGGATCTTCTTTTTATTGGTTGCAAAAATATCGATATGAAGAGTATGGCCAGGATGTGTTGGCATTGGGGTGGCACTTAAAACTTGATTACCAGGACGCCTATCATATTTATTTTCTTTGCATATCGTGCATTTTTTAATCACGATACGGATACGATTTAGGAATGTACTAAGGGAATGTACTAAGGAAAAATATAGATAAATAGTAACATTTTTGAGCATCCGTATCTAAATTATTAAAATAAAATATATTCATAAAAACAATAAAAGGAAAATCCCTAGTGTTGGGACTTTCGTCCTTTTTTAACCTTTTTTAAACTTTTTTTTACAAACAATAACAAAATGTAATACAGTCCAATAAAATCATATTATTTTAACCTTGATGTAGAAATTAGTCTTAAGATATTTTTGTATAAAAACACAACATTGTTTTAAATAAAATCAGTAACTACAAAATACTCAATCAAAGTACTTCAATAATATAATCAGTACATTTTGGTCCTTCGAGCCGGATATACCAAGAGTGCTATGATCAATAATATAATAGTACATTTTGGTCCTTCGAGCCGGATATAGCAAAATTGCTATATCAGTGTACTTCACTAATATAAAAGTACATTTTGGTCATTTGTAGATATGTTTCTGCATCCTGTATCCTACTTCCGTAAAAATTTATTTGTTTTTGCAAGTCTGTCACCTGTCCTTGGGACTTTACAAGAACTTGAGGGATTACCTGTTGATGCATTACAAGAATTCAAGCTATCATGAAAACTATTCTTTGCAGATTCTTTTTTTTCGATTTTTTGAAGTTCCGGTTCGAAATCAATTTTTATTGATATATGATCATTTTGTAATCTCATATATCGCCCATCCTGTTCCTTTAGTTCCTTAATATTCTTACCATATTCATCGCATTTATTTTTATATTCAACCACATCGGATCAGTGGACGTAGTTGCATCATCATGGAATATGGTAGTATACTTTAACTTAAACTCATTTTTCGACACAATAAAACAAGCAGATAGAATTTTAATCACAATGAGTAAGACTTGTGAAAATTTACAAACTTTTGAAGGGCAGTGTAATCGGCTTTTAGACACAATGAAACGGCAAGTTGAGAATATGAAGAACACGAATCAATATCTATTTCCACAAAATATTAAAAGATCTAAAAGAGCACTATTTGAATTCATTGGATCGCTGCAACATATCTTTTTTGGAACAATGAATGCAGATGATAGGAGGCAGATTACATATGTAAAGCAGAGAATAAACTTTTAGCTTTAGAGAATGTTGGTACACTACCATCTATTTTGTGAAGAGCATGATGCAATATTTTGACAAAATCCTCGCAGCTGAAGACAATACTGCGACGATACAGTTTAGGTTGTGAAGTAGGATTGAAGA